CATGATTCGACACGAATGGGCCGGCTCTATACCACAATCTCACACAAAACCGACTTAAAACAACGCTTGCGTTGTGTTTTGTCGTGTGAGTGAGGTTACCGGAGTCCTAATTAGCCCCCCCCCCTCCTCGGCTCCTCAGTAAAATTCCCTATTACTATAAGGCCCGTAACGCACTTGTAACGCCTCTGCTGTTTCAGGTGTCCATGGGCGGCGCCGACTGCTTACCATCAGCAGGTGTTCCGTCTACTCGTTTACCGGCTTAAAAATGTAATGTGCAATAGATAAATAACATACCAAAACACATGTAATAACGATAACCTAATAAATAACGACTGAAACAATAAACCACTTAGTTACAAAGGTTTTAATTATTTTAAACTGTTTGATGAGTGTGTCGAGCAACAATTAAATTTTAATTACAACGCGTGGTTATGTCTGTTGTCTTTGAAAGTGTGTACAAATTGGATAACGAGCTCGATTTAGTGCCTTTATACGAAGATTTGCAGTCTGAATGTGTACTGCTTTTGTGTTTTAAGGTTTTAATTGTGATTTTATTCCTACAAACGACCGAAATTGGTACCTACTATAACAGTTGGTTTAGTTATGAAACACATAATAAAAGATTTGATCTATGTGGTCTCATAGCCTCCATCATCTGGCAGTAAGGACATTCTGAAGAATGATTTGTTTCTATAAAATGTTAACTGTCAACGAGTTTTTTTAAACAACAAGAAGATATAGAAAAATTCTCCATATCTAGATGAAATTGGCTCAAGTCCAATGATCGAGAAAATTACTTTGAAAACGTTGATTAAAATATGCGTACTCATACGAACCAGTATCGCAATTTACCTTCACATTTTCCTCTTATTTTACGTACCTGCTTAAAGTAATGCCGGGCTCTACGATTAAAGATTCTCTTGTACGTGATGTATGAAGGCATTCATGTCATGATCGAGGAAAGGCACTGATGGCGCGCATAGAAAATCCTGACGTGGTGACATGCCGCAAACTGAACGCTGAAACGTTCCAATTATGGTAGTAAATGTAAAAGTAGTTTATAAAGTAATGTAACTTGGATTGGTATTAAAATTAAGGTATAAAGAAATTGTAATTATATTCTTATTTCCACACAACTAGTAACAAAAGCTCGCCCAAAAATTCACTGAAATTGCGTAATTTGTATCCGGTTCTCGGAAAAATGACAACACGACTTTCAATGTTGTCCAAGTATTCACGAAACTCAAAATAATCTGTTTGTTACATTTTATTTTTAGCTAAAACCGTCCAGTAAACATTGGCCTTCTTTAAGCTTAGCCAGAAAGGATAAGCCCAGATCATTACAAAAGGGAACGCAGCTATTTCCAAAAAGGTATAATTGTGGACAAAAATTTAATAAAATCACCCAACGCTCGCAGCTCCATGAAAATATTGTTTGGTATTTATTATTATTTTTTTCTTAAGTCCCTTTCTCGTCAGAAAAGATAAGAGAAGCGATGAAAGCTCAAAAAGGTCGCGATCACAAAGGACGAGGGAATAATGACGTAAATTTTTGGCATAATTTTAATTAAAGGCTAATTTGTGACATTCACAAACCGGAAAATTACCCTTTGTAGGTGAAATTTTTCACTGGAAGGAGATGCGTAAATTACTTACTAAACCATGTGAAGATGTATAAGTAGGTATATGGTAACACGTTCGCAAAAAGAACAAAAGATTCACACATCACAGTGTAATTAAAAATGTATTTCTTTATAATGAAAAGGTTTCCAGACTGCGTCGTGTTTTTTTAGTGTTACATATGAGAATGGTAGATGAGCGAGTGGTCCAGTATTTGTACAGACGCTGAATAAAAGGATGACTAGACAGAAACAGTTATGCATAATGAATACAACTTTTATTATTTTTGAAACTATTACTGCGTCGTTTTGTAATTAAAAAAGGAGTACCTTAGAAAATAACTAACACAGACACATAACGCTTTTTATAGGTTAGTAAAGAGAAAGACTTACAGTACAGATAACATATAACATCACGCCTTTTACACCCGAAGGGGTAGGCAGAGGTCACGTTACGGCACTTAATGCCACTATACAATGTAACACCCTCTTTTCACTCTGTAGTATGTAACAGGCGGCGAGCCTATTGCCATATACCAGGCACAATTTTAGACTCCGTGCTACTACTGAGATTTTTTAATACCCCGTAGTACTTTGCCCGAGCCGGGAATGGAACCCGAGACCCGTTGCCCGGCAGTTGTACTTGCTACCACTCGTCAAACGACGCAGCTACAGTACAGATATATTTCCCAAATTAGAACCAATATAATCAAAGTCGATTCTAGGAGTCGAATCTATAGTTTTTACTAATGCACCCTCTAATAAAATCTTGTTTTATTCGAACAATAAAGCAATACGTGGTTAACCCATGTGCTTATTCATAGCCTACAGTACTGCCAGCTAGCAGGCTATCCGCAGTGTTTGACCTTAATCCGCAGCATGAAAATTTTAATGACAGCACTTACGAGAAGGTATGTGTATACAGGATGTAAATTACAACGTCACATAAACTTAAATCATGGTTTTAAACCTCATCTGTTCTTTATTATTCTCAAACAACTGTTTTTGTCATATCTTGTTTCCACTCCTAGAATCTGTACATCAGAAAACGACTATTATGTAGTATTTGGTACCTGGCATCAGAAAGTGAAACCTACTACATATTTAATGGGATCAGAAGTTCTGAAACTAGGTAGCGATTTACTTTTAATTGCAAATTACTATGTTCTTTCCACCCTGTACACACACATCCTGTATACCCTTTAATGTGAAGATTAACACAGATTAGCAGTAGAGACACGTATCAGAGCTGTTTTTTGCCGCCTAATGTAAGTCTTTAGTCACAAGTCGTTACGTCAGACGCGTGCGTAGCTGTTACGTTATCTAAGCAACATTTTAAGACGCCCTAATTTCCACGATAAACCAAGGGTTATCTCTGGATTATCTCTAAAAACACCTCACAATACAGGATTGAGAAAGAAAATCCGCTCGAGTAAATAAGGAAAGATCTTGAAAACTGTGTCTGTGACATGTTTTTTCTTTCATTTGCTTGTGCGATGATCGTTGAGACAAGTGCTCCCATGAGAGGCACTGAGCACATTCTCCTATATTGGAGTTACATCCTCGTCTTATTTGTTTATCGATTTTACCCGATTAAGGAAGGGGTCAATTCTTGAACGGCTCCATTTATTGAGTTAGGTACTCGTGTTTATTCATCCAGTCGAAATAAAGAGGGTCGAATAAAATTTGAGTAAACAGGAGCCGACGAACTAGAATGCTATCGGCACGTATTTCGGAGTTACTTGATACGCTCCCGTAGCTTTGACCTGTATCTGCTCAATGTATATGTATAGGATTAGAATTTGTTTGCGTTTGTTGTCGTGCCATTTGGATGTATTGAGTTATAAATGAAAATACCTTTTTAAGTTCGTGAAATGCAAATGTTTGTATTTTGCCGTGTTGAATTGATATGTAATAAAATATAATGATTTTAAGAAGTTTCTATGACACATTGAATTTCTTAACAGTTTTGCAACATACTACCTAAAACTGGATTTTAAGAACGTGCTGTGAATAACGCTTAAACCTTTCTTTCTTCTTTGCTTTTTAAAGAAGTATTAAATTATTTAGCTGTTAACCTAAAGGTGGTATAAATTAAAATGATGCAAAATAAAACTCAACACTAAATAACACGTAAAACGTATTTATTTACAAACCATATTTACAATGATCTAAAGTGTATTCACAGATTTATTTTACTAAAACTTATTCACTATTATTTTCAGCTGCGTTAATGTTAGTTTTCGGTACAATTACATATTTCTTAGGAAAACAACATCAATCAAATGTTTTTATTATTATTTCGGGTGAATATATAAAATGTGAAACTATTTACAATATTCTAGTTTATGATGTTAATGGCTGATTTTGTTACAAATTGAGGCAGTTTGTTACATTATTATTTCGTACACAACTAAGATAATAGAATTAGTAACGAATAATAGAACAGATAGGTTTAATGATACACACTAGTCCTCCTTAGAGAGGTATAATTATTGACATAATTTGTCGAATATCAACGCCAATTAATATTCAATTAAAGGCAAGGATGCACTACAATTTCACGTTGGGTGAAATAGCGTGACGTTGCTGGACTTTGGTCGACATGTCGTGCAACATCAACGTCGCTGCAGACATAAACCGCGCATTATCGTCGGCTTATAATTATGTCGGGCGAAATCGGCAGGCTTCGCTTGAAATGTCGCCGATACATATCGTGGTACATTTGTCCCCTAGTGTATCCTTGGCTTTATTCAATTTTCTATTCGCTTTTTAAATGAGTTTTTTAATGCCATTTGTTCAGGAAACTCACAACAAAAATCTCGTAGCCACTTCGTAGCACTACGGAGTCACATCGTAGTAAGTGCTACGCTTTCTTCGTAGCAAATGCTACAATGTCGTTTTGTATCTAGGTAGCTAGCTTTTTAGTTGTATAGTATAAACTGCCTCAAAGAGCTTTCTTTCTTAGATTTAGTAAGTAAAAGTTAACATTAATATCCTCATTTTACTATAAATATATTTACAAGCTCAAAGTCAAAAAGATCACAAAACATGGAAATAATCAATTTAAATGTGATTTCCAAGTAATTTACATTTTTATCTGTAGATTTTTCTATTTGTAATTACTATGATGTTGAAATTATTAAGTTATACTATAATTACTTTGATTGTACTAAAAATTAACAAAAAAAAAATAACAAGAAGGTGATAATAACAGAAATATTAAATATGAAAATAAAGTTTATTGATACAAAAGGAAATGTATTAAAATCATATAGTTATACGCATTCAATAAAAATAGAAGATACTTAGTTATTTAATAAAATATGAACTAAAAAAATATTTTTTTTAATTACACGATAATTGAAGCTCGTAAATAAAATTACGTAGTTTGAAAATAAAAACCGATTTTTTTAACTGAAGTTAAAAAAGGTTTTAATGTTACTTATGCTTATTTACCAAGTGTACCTAAGGGTACGACATACCATATCGGAACTTAATACGTTGTAAACTTAGAATAATTATGGTTTTCAGTTTATTTTACGTCGTTACGTACATTCAACTCTAAAAAATATACTTTAAAAAAATATTTGATGTCCTACTAAATCGTAGAGTGCCTTCGCACTAGCGTTTGTCCAGGGTAGGTGTTCGATAAACTTATGCGCCGTGCAAATACTGCGCAAGTGTAGCGTTACGGCGCCAGCGCGGTCTTACTCAAATTAACGTAATTAATAAAGTGTGATAGTACGATGACCTTTTAAGTCGATCTCCTAAATTGGAAAATAATAATATATTAGTCAATTGCCATTTCTGATACTTAGTTGTAAGCATAAGTAACATTAAATTTTATAATGATTAAGAAAACAACTAGACAAAGAGAGATACTTATCATCATAATTCGTTTCTTTATACGTCAGTTAGACTTAATACTAATTAAAAATTCTATATTTAAAATGTTTGTGCTGTGCATTTCATGCAACATTACCAACATTTACTAGAGCTGGTCATCTCGTTACAAATCTTCTAATACAGTAATTGTTCCACAAAAATCTGATATACTTTAAATAATTAGTCGAAGTATGTTGAGACATAAGTAAAATGTACAGCATGATTGATGTGAGGAATGATTTCAATTGACTTCTGATTGAAAGAAGGATGAGCAGTGGTATAGGTGACAGTCTCTGGGAGTCGCTCTGCATGGCCGCCGGCCGCTCCCCACTCACCACATGCACCACAACCGACGCCGAATCTATCAAAAAAAATAAACAGTTACTTTTCCACTGACATAAACTTTTTCTAGGAAAACGAAATGCAACAAAAACGTCCCACAACGGAAATTAAATCATACGTCAAAGATTTATTTATCCAAAAAAGGTATTTCAAAACCAGTGATAGCCCCTGACTTCCTATTTAAATGCCAACTGCGGCGCGATTTCGAACCTTATCTTAAAAAGAAAATTTCGTAAAATATATTAATCGCGTGTAAGGAATACAAATGGACGATAAGAACGCTGAGTATACAGTGAATTTGAACACGTTGATTCAGTACTTGAAGGGGAAGGCGTGGAAAAAGATAAATGGTTTTTACACAGCCACGGACATAGATATAGTGAAGTATGTTGAGTGAAAAATGTAGGTACGCCATAAAAGAACCGATGGACGGCCGCTGCGGCATGTATATTTTTTATAACACCCGCATGTCCCACGAGGGCAAAATAATAAAAGAAACTGTCTAAAGTAGCTTAACTGTAAAGCCGCTGGCGAAATAACTGAATGCAGAACAAAGGCAAGCGATTAGCTACTCCACTTGGCGGCTTTCGTTAAGAATTTTTTGTTGCTAATTAAACCAACTCATATTTCTGGCTTTATAAAATTTACGAAAACTGGGCAAAAACTTAAAATGGTGGAACAATTTTATGTTATTTATGCCTTTTTATACGCTAGTTTACTGGTGAAAATGAGGGTAATAAATTATGGTTGTTTACCGGAGCTGCTCGGCGCGCAGGTGTAGTTGCCGGAGTCTCTCGGTGATGCTCGTGCAATGAGCAAGCGACTAGTTCGCGTGCGCTGTTCTGTTTCTACGCTGATACCACCGCGCTGAGCGTAGTTCACTACGTTTGATCCTCGATACCAGTAGATGAAACTGTACAAAACATCTTATATGAAACAAAGCAATTATTTATTACAATAATAACATGTTTCTTAACTAAACAAGTTTTCGAAATTCACGTTGAGTTTACTTTTCCAGTCACACAAGCGCCTGTCAGCAAATAGTTGTGCACGGATTGTCTTGCTTGAAAAACATCGTCGCTTGGCTTCCAACATGGCAAGTCACACAGGCGCTGTCTGTATGTTGAGTCAACTCCCCGCCGATTACTTGAGACGAACGCTTTATATTCGGTTCATATTGAAGGCATAAGTGAGCGGCAAGTGAAGCAGTTTTGAGCCGAGTTTAAAGTGATAATGTTTGCTCTGTCTGCGCGATATTTCATACATAAAGTTTAACCTAACTTTAGAACATTTTTGCTCCACAAAATTTTAGCTTCCACGAAGAAAATTGCTTACCTCGGTGGATCTGGAGCATGTCTGGCAATGCAAGTGAGATTGATGTCAGAACCTGCTCTCACAAATAGTTCTGGTCCGGAGAGTATTTCTGCTTTTGATACTGCAACAAACGAGTATCTGTAGTTGGGATGCATATAAAATTGTGGAATGGAACTGAGCTAGTGTTCAAAAGTTTCTCGATGTCAATTTATCTAGTACTCCCGACGTCAAACGTTTACTTAGAGAAATGGCTTGCCGTCTCGACGACGCTAATTGCGTCTAACAATTAAACAAGTCTACATTTCGTCTCATTTACAATTGGATGAGGAGAAAGTTAAAGTTGTTAATTAAAGTACAAAGTTGAGATAAACAAATAAATCTAATCATTTATGCAAATATTAGTTACTCAAACTGTTACTGTAACTTCCATCTTAATTCGTTTCCGGTGACGAGCGTTCAGGGTTTATGTAGGGAAAATTCCTGGTTGCCTCACCACGGTAGACTAACAAATGATTCGATCTTATGACCCAGCGCGCAGTTAACTTAACCGTTAACCTACAGCCTCTAATAAAACAGGGTTGTGTAAAACTCTTTCTTTTCTTTATTCTATTGGGGTTGAATTTTAAAATAAGTTTTTATAGCCTCCTGAGAGGTATTGCGAATTTTTTGATACCGTGCAAATTCTTTAGGTCTGTGATTCGAAGTAAAATAAAAAAGAAGAATATTTGTGATGCGGTGGTTTAACATACTTAAATATATACTTACCAACAACAGTAAGTCTAAATGAGAGACTGATTTTAGGCTCAGTAGAGACTTGACACTCATAGGAGCCGGAGTCTCGTGGTTGGGCTGGTGCAACTCTCAAGGTCCATTCGTCAGAATTGTCTGTGTGCAGTGCTGCGAAGCGAGCGTCACTGCTGTACGTATGAACACCCACTGTGAGGATATGAAGGTCACGTTTGCGTATCCATGATACCTGGGAACAAAGGTGTTGAATTAGTTTGTGTGATTGTAAACTCTAAGATTATGAAAACAAAATTTGATCTTATTTGTCACTGTTTATTTTAGGTATAACATAATATCGCACCGAAAATCCCCAAAGTTTGTAAATGCAAAACTAGTCTCTAAATATCGGAAATAAGGTCTTTAATGAATTAGTGGAGAGCTTGAGGATTGATTATTTTACCTACATAAGTTTAATGTTTTATTTAGAACTTTTTGTGTAGGATACTGGGTTACTTGCTGTTTTTAATGAACTGTTCACTGTTAACGACATATTCCTCATTTTGTAACGTTAAAAATATTATTAGGTCATAAAAAATATTCTGATGTTCTCCAAACACTGGCTTACAACATTGAATTGAAACTAAGCCCGGAACTTTGAAGAGTATCAATAAATTTTGTGATACTCTTATACACATGAAGCTCATATTTTATTGAAGATCCCTTCAATTTGTTACACCCCTTTCTTATAAAATATTCATTCTTGAGTAATGTTCCTAGATGGGCACTATGTCATATTTGATGGATATTTAATAATAAAGGACAAGAACTGCTCATTGTGATATTTTTACTTTAACGTTTAAAAGATACGTACGTACAAACGATTTCAGATTTCTTATATTCCTCTATTTCATTCACTCGCAGAATAGCTGCTAAGTGCTAATACAAATTTACAACATCAATATGACAAAAGCTATAAATGCGATGAAAATTCCACATTTTCTTTTACAATTATTTAAGTTAATTCCATTAAAATGGGTCATCTATTTTTATACAATAACATCAAAAAGTTTCAAACAGAGAAGGAATTATAATTGTACAGTATCTATTTTTGAACAATGCCTACGCATATGCGTGGCTTAGCTACGGAATTATTTTGTGGGGAAATAGCACAGACACACCTTCTCTTTTCACTCTTCAAAAAAAACTTATCCGCATCCTAACTAATATAGACCAAACTGATAGTTGTCAACCCTACTTTAAAAAACATCAAATACTTACCTTACCATGCATCTACATTCTAGAAATATGTAAATTTGTGAGAAACAATATTGCCTTCTTTACAAAACGTGGAGACAAACATGCAAACAGATCACTAAGACATAAAAACCGACTAATGTTACCTACTTCTAATATGAGCCTACATTCCAATAGTCCGTATGTAATGTCTATAAAAATATATAATAAGCTACCAGAAGCCCTAAAGGAAGAACCCAGAAATATAAAATTTACTAATAAATTAAAACAAATACTCATAAATAAAGCATATTATAATATTAAAGAATATATTAATGATAAAGATTTAAAATAAACACTGTAATTAAAAATTAAATATGTGTACGACATATATAATATTAATGATTAAATCACCTATTACAATACACATATTTAAATATATAAAACAAAAAAAAAATATTAAAATAAATGTTTAATATATAAATATATAAACCTACATAGAATATATAAGTACATTTATAAACATTTTCATAAATAATACTAATAGCATTACAAAATAAATTGAACAAAACAACTACTTATAACTAGTAATAAGAAATCTGCGATACATAATCTAAATAAAATTAGCGTCCTCCTCTCTTCTACGTTGCCGTGCCCTACAGGGTCCATACTGTACTATATTATTATGTAACACCTTTTAAACATATGGAGTGCAATAAACGTATTGAGTATTGAGTATTGAGTATAACTTTCCTCACAAACAATACTCTTTAACGAACTAAAACTTCAATAAAAGCAGTAAAAAAATAACTCGGAGCCTCAAGCCGTTCTATTGTTACATTTTAATTAAACCGTGGCAAGAAACATTAGTACATTAACACTTTCAGTCGCCACAACCCGACCTCCATTATTAATGAGGCTTTGTGTTAGACAAGCGTTAAATTATAACAACCTATTTGAACTGAACCTCTACCATGAGTCTAAAACAATAGTAATTGTCGATACTCGATAGTGATGACGTAAATATTTTTGTATGCTTATTTCACAGCGCCTCTAGTGGTCACTTATGAAACTAAATTTAGCATACAAACATTTTACATCATCGCTATCGAAATCGACAAACACTATTCGTCTAGAGCCATGGAAATTTTTGTACCTATGCGACATTTTTAACGCCTCTAGCGACCATTTACTTAACTAAATTTTGGCATAAAAATTACGTCGTCACTATCGAATTAATACTATTGCCTTAAACACATGGTAGAGGTAGTGTTCTAAAATCACACTTCTCTTTGAGGATAGCTGAGTGGACCATGTAGTTTCAGTGTTAGCTAACATGTAGGGCTAGGCTTTAAACAATGGCGGCTAGTTCAGTCTTCAATTAAATGCAAAGCTACTCAGGCACACAGGGGACCCATAGCGATACAACTACGTAATTTCCCCTTGTTCTAACTTGGCAAGAAACTATAGAACGCAACGCCAAATGAAATACAAACTTGTATTGCAATCAGGTACGAATGGAGCCAATCTCGAGAATTTTATAACTAGTTTTCTTGTTTTCCACTTTTATCTAAATAATTATGTCAAGGTTATATTTAACTTTTAAACCGAACGCCGATGTACGAATATATAACTAAGATGAAACATTTGTAAAAATATAGGTAGTAAGCTAATTGATGTTAATGTTTGTAAGTTAAACTTACAGCAATGAAAACTAATTTTATTTAATTAATTTATTTTATTATATTTAGCTTATACGTTTATATTTTGATACATAATAGAAAACAATTCGAGATTCTCTGATTCACTGAATGACGAAATTTGAATTTCGAAATGTTTATGTTTTCCAAAACGTTATTACCTATTGTATTAATTCTCGTACTCCGTCAATTTTGCAATACTTCGCCTTTGAATTAATTAGTGAAATGATTGTGAGATAATTAAATTTAATTAAACTTTCTCGACGTTTCCCTCGGGTACAAATGGAAATTTATTGTCAACATTTCCCGAAAACATCTATCAGAACTGATTGTTGATGCAGTTAATAGATAAAGTCAATATTTTTGATGTTAATAAGCGTGAATTTAGTAATATCTATGTTTTCCTCTTGTTTTATCATATTGTAATAATTATAATTTATGTTGTATTTATCAAAAGTCACAATAAAAATATTCGGTGGCTTTGAGAAAGGATCTCGATTCTTATTACTGGGAACGACCTATGTATGGCGTTCATAAGATTTTTTGTCGTAACACAGCAAAAACTATATGATAATCGAGATCGAGACAGTTATAAAACGTGTAACTAATGCTGACTGTTCCATTAACTTGATAACGCGACATTAGATAACAAACTATTATAAACATTGTTGAACGAAATTTTCTATAAGTTACAAATTCAGATATTAAAATTAAGACCTTATACATACCTCTATAGGTAGTACTGTAAGATACAAGACAGGCATTACACAATTACCGTATTTATAACTATATTGTTTCAAACGAATACAATTTTGTGGCAATCCTCACAGTCTGAAACTTGACACAAATTGTCGGATCAAAATTTAATTAATGCTTTGGTTCGCCAATCTACGTATTCAATGACATCTTTTGTTCGTAAAATTTCGTACACAAAATACTTTCTCATTATCAGAATTTCGTAAAAGCTTTTGTATTGTTCAATGTAGCGGATAGACGCGGTCTGTAAACCAATGATATTCATTTGTTTTTGGTCTCGTCTGCGAATGACAGGATTTGAGGTTTTGCGATTAGATGCTCTATATACAAAAGAATTCAGATAAATGGCAAGGACTGCAGAGGATTTTATAGTTCAATATTAATGTTATTGAAAATTGTGTTATAAAAGTTTTTCTAAAAGTAATCATGGTATGTGTATCTTTTGTGTAAATAAATGAACCATACTCGGTTACGATAAAGTTAATTTATTTACAACCTACTAGACCATTATAAAGCCACTACATCAAAAGAATATTTCAATCTCTCAAACAATAAATTCGTTGTAATTCTAACATTCAAAATCAGTAGGTATTAGCAGCGTAAGCCAACGCTTAATAAATCTCAACAAAGGGACTTATCCCAAATTAGAGTAATTTTAAACCGATTTTCGTTACTTGTCACGTTCTAAATCCAATATTACTGGGTAATTCGTCTTGATCCTATCCCCGAGGGATATATATCAGCCCTTTTTAACAGCCTATGTACATAAATTCAGTTTTATTTCACATAGTGCGGGACACTCACGTAAGTTGGCTACTCGCCTTTTATAGTTGGCATTGAGCGACGTGACGGTACCAACCTCTCCTCTACACTTTTATATCACTCTCAGATTTTTTCTAAATATATTTTCTTAACCTTTCCACCTAAATAACCTTTTGATATTTTACAGCGATGGGTACGAAACAATACTTTCAAGACGTTATCAGTGAAGCAACCCACGCGTAATATATGTTTACCATAAAATATATCGATAAATAATTCATTCACAAATATCATTTTATCAAAAGCCTTCGATATATGATGGTTATAAGGATTGATACAGTTCACGTAATGTATACCTATTCTTCTTCCTTAATACATTCTTCTAACTTTGATTCGTAATGTAAATCTCGATTCCCAAAGGCTGAGTAAGGGGATCTAACAAATTGTTCACATATCATTGATTTCCCTGTTGTCTGTAATCAGGTGAGAATTCCTTGAAAAGAGTACAAATCTGCTGATGTAGGCGGCTTTGGGTAATTTGTCTGTTGGGAAATTCTCTGAAGATTTCTTATTCTGAGTTATTTTGTGTGTCGATGTTGTGTAGAAATATTTTCTCTTCTTTAAATAAATGTTTTAGTTATTTCGTTGTATTGTATTGTTTTCACAAAAACGATGTAATCGTGTTTAAATAAGTGGATGAACACGAAAGAGCGAAATATTCACTACTTAACAAATTACGACAAAAATATACTATACTTACATTTCAGTAAATAATCCATTCCGAAAAGCATTTTAATGA